CTATATGGGTTTTAAATGCTTTTAAGTTTTATATCTTAACAATTTGATGTCTGTTAGAGCGTGGAAAGAAGAAGAAAAACTTATTATAACAATTATGAACAGCGACAAATATATCAAAGCGAAGCCTTCTATTTACGTATCGAATATGTTGCCACATTCTTAATACCAAAGTTAAACTTTTCTCCACTTTGATAAATGTAAACTAATGCGAACCTTACAATTAAATTATTAATTCCTTCGTATATTATTGGTTTAAGTTGTCGAAAATTAATATTTCAATTGAAGGTTCGCATTAGCATACGTTTATAAGAGTGGAGAAAATTATATGCATTTTTTAATAGTTTTTTGAATATGGCTCTTTGAAGACGAAAAAGCATAGATTTTCTTACAAAATGACTGATAGCTAAAAAACTAATCCAAATTTTTGAAAAAGAAAAAAAATCCTTCTTCATTATGTCAAAACACAATTATGTGCCGAGTTTCGTGCCTGGGCGAGGCTTCTGGGGCGATATATTGTGATTACAGACACACACACAACCGCGTTTATTATTATGTATATAGATAACCAAAGTAATTTATGCAAGTTGCACGCTTATGGCTATACTTTTTGGCATAGGGTGTTCAAAAAGACTATTTTTCGATCGTAATTTTTGCCGGGCCCTCAAACCTTTGAAAGATTTAAATGAGATATATATTATGTATGAGAAATCGCGAGAACTAAACATATCTAAAGTTATAAAATAATTGTCTAAATATTTTTTGAGAAATTTCAAAAAATATGTTACAGAAGTGTTTTCATTATTTTGTCCAACGCCTGTAGTTACCTATTTGCAAGCCATTTCTATCTATCATTCAGAAATTTATGCATAGTTTTTATTGTTTTTTTTCTTCTCATTACAGAATAAATGATTGATTATCCACATACTTAAATTAGTTATTGATCATTTCGTATTTAGACATATAGTTAAGACGATATTTATTGATTTTATATTCGATTTATTTACGTGCCACCATATAACGTTATTCAAATTATTTGTGCTAGAAACAGCTATTAGCATTTTGGTATTGACAAAAGTAAAACTAACATTAAATATGAGAATCATCAACAAGATAAGGATGAATAATCAGTAAAATTTAACCATAATTACTTTAACTATTAAGCTTTTTTTCTTTTTATCTCTCTATCTTTTAAGCAACAAAAAGAGTTGAAAAATTGAAGAAGAATCAATGTTATTTTGATTCAATCTGAGCTGCATTTTTTTTAAAGAAAAAAAGTATGAATTAGTAATTGAAACTAACATTTCATACTAAATCTAAAATTGTTTATTAAAATATTGTTTAATATTTTTTAAACAAAATATATTTTGGAAACTTGATCTTTAGGACAAAAAATGTCTATCTCAAATAATAATTGCATGGAATTTAAAGTAATCTTGTGAAATGCTTAAAATTAGGAGGCAGCAACTATAAATTTTAAGTATTATTTGTGCAAATTTCATTTCACATTTTTGCTTTAACTTCTAGGTAAATTAATTAAACAATAGGATCCCTGAAAGTGACGCAGCGTGGGTAAACTCGATCCTGATTGGTTAATGAAACGTGGCATTTACGTTGTCAACTGTTTTTTCCATTCCATTTTGAGTAAGCCAAGCCCGTCTAGAATCAGTTCTCTTAAGTGAAACATTATATATTGTTTCACAAAGATTTCATTTTTTTCACTAAATATTTCTTATTTAACACAAATACAAACATGAAGCAATGTAGAACATAAACAAACTAATTATTCATCGAAGTTGCCAGGTACACCAAACAAAACTATATTACGGTTACAGTAAAATGCATAATAAAATAATAAATCTAAGTTAAGTAAAAGACGTGTAGGAGAAATTATTACATTTTAACAGATTCAATGCGCGATATGGCGTTGTATTTAATTAACTTCACGTTAATTAACATTTTAACTTATGTGGAAAGACGTAGCTTGACTTAAACATTCCGCTTTGTTGCCAGTACCCAATAAAGTTATAAACTATTTTAAAAAAATTTTCATTATACTAAAAAAAATTTTAAAAAATTGTTCAAAAGAACACAAAACGTTTTTGTATTTTAATTAAGTAGCTGAATTTTATTCAAGTAATAAAAAAAAATTTAGAATATATTTTAGTATTATTTTCGTTTATTGTAAACTTCATGAATATGAAATTGTGAATTAACTCTTAAATCTGTTATTTTCCAAAAACTGATCAGCAATGGATGGCTGGTTTTTTAAAACCTTTGATGTTACTTCTACGTTTTAGATTATTGGACAATAATCACTTGTCAATAAATAACAGTTTTTATACTGCTCGAGTTGTTTATTTCCTTTGAGTAAAAATGATTTTTTAATATGCCATAAAATTTAGTAAATGTAGTAAATTTTGGTATTTATATCATGATACTTTAGAGCATAGAACAAAAACAAATTTATTCGGTTAAATTTACTTTCAAGTTTTGCATTTATTACCAATTGTGTGGTAATAAGAACTATAATTCTGTAATCCGGAAAATCGTTACCCTATGAACAGAAAAACTACCAAATAAATGGTTTAAATAACATCTATTTCGGTTTTTATTACCAGAATTTAGTTGTTGTTTTTTACCAGAAATATCATTACCATAGAATACGGTAATTTTACCAGGAAGAGACATCTTGATATATTTCGAAGTCCTAAAACTATAAAAGCAGGGGAATAAAAAACAAACTAACTTATAAAGAGAGCTGTTGAATTGTTTCTTTTAACGTTAGTTATTACAATAATTATAATTAGTTCTCTTAACTTACTTTCATAGTTTGCCAAGCAAAAAGTTCTTTCATTGATTAAAAAGATTTAGACATTATGTTTGGATTATATCCAAGATGATAATTAAGACTCAATTACCTCTAAATAAATGCTGTACAAGCGGAAAAGCTACATTTTCAAGACAGTTTATAAGCTAAGAAAAATAATTAATTTTTATACTAATGAAGTGCAGTTTTTCGAAACCATTAAAATTCAAATAATTACTTACAAGAATAATGGTTTATAAAAACACATTGTTAGAAGTTTCGAGGTTAAAATGGCTAAAAAGTAATTCATTTAATTGTTTTTTTTCCTTAGTTAACAGTTAAATAATAATAAAAAAGATTTTCAAACTGTTAAGTATGAGAAAAACATTTATTGATTGTTTTTACCTATTCGGATTCAACAACCAAAATTCTATCTGTTCCATCTAGGCCCAGCTTATGAGGCCATTTTGTTCCATGTAGCTGCGTACATACTGTAGCTGAGAGGGCTAATTTACCAATCTCATGACCATCTGTATGTACAGGTTTCGAGTCCCAGCATTGATACCACACTATTTCTTCCATTCCATCAATATATGAGGAGTTTCTATTGTCTTGAATATTCCAGTAATAGTCTTGAATATATTGCCAGAATGATTCTATCATTCCCGCATAATGGTGCAGAACCCACAGAGGTTCAATGCCCGCTTAAGTTTTATTTTTAGGGTTTAAAAACAAAACTAGTTGCAAATGGTTATAAAAAAATTTTTACCGTATCTGTTGAAAACCGTAAAGATAAAGAAATGTTCCTAACCATAAACTTTATGGTTAATCGAATGCCGGTTACTTTACAGTAATTTCAGAATGAAAATTCTAACAGTGCAGAAGCATTAATTCCACCATTAATTACTGTTTAATGATTACTATTTTTTATAATGAGTTCATAAAATATTTCCTGGTCCTGAAATTTCCTGACGTACGATATTGTTTCCTTTCATAGAGTTAAGAGTATAAGTAGAGATGGCATTTCCCACCCTCCTATGAGTAGAAACTGAAGTAACTGTCGGCCATCTTGGATTATGCAAAGCCTTCATTGTAACCTATGGTTGCATGGCTAATAAATGGTAGTTTTTAAGTGTCAAACAAAGCTTAATTTTTTTATTGCGTTTAGTTACACGAAAAAAAAAAGCGTCTCATTTATTACAATTTAATATTTATAAAAATAACATAACTAAAGATTAAATTTAATCATTTTTATGCCAAATAATCTAATATTTTATGTATGTAGATTTATATTTTTGACACATAAATGAAAAAAAAATAGTTTAAATTAAAAGGCTTTTTATTTTAAACTATTATTTTTTTATTTAATGCTTAAAAAAGAGAAATTAAAAAAATCTTAAGTTTTTTGTTAGTTATTTTTTCATGCATTTATTAATTTTAGAAGACAAACTTTTCCTTTCATAAATTATATCCCTCAATTAAAGCAGTCATTTCTTGTTGATTGAATCATCATAGAAAATAATAGAATTTTAATACTTTAATAAAAGTTGTAAAAAAACATTTGATATTTATTAAAAAATTTGAATTAAAAGCTTTATATATTATTATATTTATTTTATATATTTCTTTCATTCAATCGAATAGCACTGAACTTTAAATTCTTTTTTCTCAGTTCATGAAAATGAATTTCTTATTTTATTCTTAAAAAATACACAGACATAAAAGAAAAATAAATCATTTTATTTATTTTTACATTTTATACAATCAATTTCCATATTTTTTTAGAGTAAGTACTATCAGAGTTTATTAGTCAAGAATAATAATTCTTCACACACAAATATTAATAATATATGTTGGTTATTCGACAGTAAAATATTGCATTAAATGTATTACAAGTGATAAGAATTTAAAAATATACACTTATTTATACACACATTTTAAAGTACACAAAAAACAAAAATTTTAAAAAACGTAACTTTATTGTTAACAATTTTTTCATTCATTTATTAATTTTAGAAGAAAAACTTTCCCTTCATAAATTATATCCCTCTATTGAAGCATTGTCATTATTTGAAAAGAATTGAATTTTAATAAGAGTTGTAAAAAACATTTCATGCATTAGTTAAAAAATTTGAATTAATACTTTAATTTGTCACGATCTTGTAAATGGTTTTTGCAATAATATTGAAAATGATAAATAGCTTAATAATTATTAGAGTAAATTAATATTTAAATTATTTAACAATAAGAGTTTTTGTTCACTAAATTTTTTTTAATCAATGAATCTGTAAGACCATCAAGCAGATTTATTGTTCTATCAATCATATCTTCTGAGAAATGCTCATTACACAATTTACTACACGAAGAAGGTTTCCAATTAACTCGTCTCACAGCTTTGATCCATAACTGTTTACGTTTTTCATCTTTAGGAAAACTGCAAATAAAATTCCAACTTAAAAGCATGAACATAAAAACTCGTTAATTATTTAAGTCTTTTAAAGAACCGACTCAAAAGATTTATAATTAGCAATAAGAAACAACTTTATCAAAATTTTGATAACTACAGTTAATCCAGTCGATAATTTCAAATATATAAATGCAGTAGCACAAATAGTCTGTTTTCAGTCTATTATGCTCCACTAAAACCCACAACTCCAATATAGATTACCCACAACTGAAACTTTTAATTTATTTCATTAACCTAAATGCATATTAATTATCAATAAAATGTACGAACTGAAGTAGTTCGCAAAATGAGAGTATGGCGGATTTTTGCCAGTTTCTATAGTTCACTGGATTTTCTATTATAAAATTTATGGAAAGGTTTCCACCACGGTTTTAAAAGTGAAAAAAAGTAACAATTTGGGCTGATTTTTTAAATTATGTTTGTGTGTTAAAAGCTCTCAAAAAATTTCATGTCGTTCATCAGGGCAAGAGTGATCATAAATAAAATAGCAGTTGAATAAAAATCAAATTGTTGACAAACTAGACATTACGAATTACAATTGAAAAAGCAACAGTGCTGATTTTTAATGTTTAGATTACGAAATAATGATCAATAACAGTAAATAACAGAAAAACACACAAAATGATTTTTGAAACTCTTCATGATAGATTAAATTTCATAAAAGCAAAAAATATTGTAGCAAATAAAATAAATACTTTTAACCATTCCCACTAATTCGAATAACACATTCTGCTTAATGATACTATAATTATGCCATATTAATTGTCAATTAAGCAGTATAAAAGTAAACGAAACCACATTTCATCTATAATTAGTTTTACAGTTTTGATATTCTATAAGCCACTTAGAAATTCTATTTTGATTCATTCCAATAAAAATTGATAAGAATCAAGGTTGGGTTTGAAATGAATAGCTAATAGTTAAGAAGAAAAAAAATCTTTAGTCTTCTGACATTATTGTAAAAACAGAATTTAAAAATACTAAATTAGAATATGATTAAGAGAAATGAATTTACACTTACCTCTGAAATGTAATTCCAGGCATTTTCTTTGTCCATCGATTCGTACAACAGTATGCAACACAGCTTGCCATTTTTACAAGCAAAATATAAATAATTCAATGTTTAAAAGGTAAAATAAAGAAAATCGTTAAAGAGAAATAAAAAAAAAACGATAAAAATAACATTGATATCAGCAAGTTCAATGTGCTGAAGACAGCAGCATTCGAATGTTTTGCATAAACCAATATGGCCGACCGGTTACAGTGATGGCTTCACTGTTACTTTCTCATGTCAACTCTACCTATACTCTTTACTCTATGTTTCCTTTAGATCTATTTCTTTACGTGAATACTTCTAAATTCTATTATTTTATTTCAAGCAATTTGAAAGATTATTCTTGTAAAATGAATATAAAATATGGTTTCGAAGTGAATCTGGACTTCTTATGAGTTTAACGCCCGAAATCAATTTCGTCTGTTGCAGTTAGAAAAGTAATTGAGGAAGAATGTGTGAGTAAATTTCGGCTATCTGGACCAAATCTATCAAAAACGCATACACAATTGATAACAACCAAACAGACCAGCATTAAAATAGGAATTCATTCTTAGAGCAAATAGATTTCTCTATATGAATTTCTTATTAAAAAATATTTAACCAATAATAACCAATCTAATTAAATCAAATAATAAAAATTGCAAACATGTTTCAAACTCGTTAATCTAAATACATTACCTAGTAAGACAAAGCGCTTTATAATTCTTTATTTCTTATTATTTTCTCCTTATTATTATTATTTTCTTATCATTATTACTTATTATTTCTTTTTATTATTATTTTTTAGTATTATTTTATTATTACCATTTATAATTTTTGAAATGCTAGATATTTTAATATTAATACATAAATTTATATGACAAAATCCGCAATTTTCATAAAATTAACCGACGAGTTCTTAAGAATTAAAAAACAGAAATACGACTTTTTTCAAGTTTTAATTACTCAAAAATTATTCGATAGATTTCGTCCAAATTTTGGACTTTATTATCTGTAATTAAGTTAAAAATTAGCTATTTAAGCTATTTTTTCCAGCAGAAAATCAGGCTTCATAAGGTCAGATTAATATGAACGTATTTTACTTTTAGCGCCCAAGTTCCTACAGTGTCTGTTAGGACACGCGTCGTATCTGATACCTTTTCTTTTCATCTAACGTAGATTTTTTTTAATTTTTTACATGGATTTTAAAATTAAATCTTGACCGACCGATTGCCCATTAATCGGCCAATATCTTATTAATAGGCAATCAGTCGATACATTTATATCATGAAAATAAAAGATTTTGTTTATTTAAATATTCTTTGATTCTCATAAAATAAGCAGGGCAATTTTATGAGAGCATGCGAGATGCTTAGTTTTTCACGGGCATCAGTCTAACCTCCCCCCCCCCCAAAAAAAAGAACCGACGAGGTTTCAGGGAAGGTACGTGGCCGGTCACTGCTGTGATGGTAAATGTTGGTAAAAATGATGTCGGTAAAATGATGACGTTTTTTCTATCCACTTTTTTTTTTAAATTCTTTTTAGCTAAAAAATTACTTTATATAAGCATTGCAATTATTAACTCTAAAATAAAATTTCATGATATAAGGCTTTAAATCAACAAATAAAGAAAAAATTATACAATTAAATTTCATTTTATCACAGTCAGTGAAAAGTCGACCCAATTTTTTGAGTTCACGACTACCAATGTTCAACTCAGTAGCCTCGTAATTTTAAACTCAATCCAGAAGACAATTGAACTCCTGGATCAAGTAATTGGAGAATTTTGCCTTCGTGGAGGACCTATTGATGAAACAAACTCACGTTTGCGTTACATGGGAAGGAAAACCACGAAAACATCCTACGGTTAGCCAGACGCCAAGGGGACTCTTAACACATGATCCGTCTACCAATGAGGATATTTTTTGTTAGCACTGTGGTCTGTTCAAACCGGGTGCAGTATTCGTATCGCCGGGATTCGAGTCCGGGTCAACTCATTGGGAGGTGAGTGCTCTATTTCTTGAGCCACCATAGCTCTATATAATGAAATTAAGTAATCCAATATAATTAATTATTAATTAATGGCTCGAAATAGCTATTAAAAATCATTTTTAAAACTGTGTAATTATTACTTTCGCATACTCATGATAAATTATGCAAATCCAAGTATACCTCGATATATTTCCACCGTATGCAATTCGGTGTATACGGAATATTTTCAGAAATTTAAAAAAAAAATAAAAAATTTGGATTTTTAAAAATATTTAAAAATTTTCAGATAAAATTTTTTTTAAAAATTCATTGACTTTTTAAACGGTTTAGGCTGATAAAAAGTGATGCATTTTTAAACAAAAAATTACAACAAATTCTTCTTATTTTTGACATTATATAAACTTCGGTTTGAGAAATAAAAGTTCAAAAAAGTTGAGTAAAATTAGCTTTTTGGAACGTCGTAAAATGTTTTAAAAACTAAATCATCAATTGTAATAATTCAGAAACTAATTTCAGGGGTCAGTGAAAACATAACAAAACTAAATTTTCACCTTTCCTTAAAAGGAACAGCTTATTCTATTTTTAATAAGACATACAATTATTTTTAAAACACAAATAATATTTGAAACTCTGCTATATTGTAACTTAAAAATCTTAAATTTGAAGAGAATAAAACATAAAACAATGAATCAAAAATCGAAAACAGTTCAAATATTAAAACATAATTTGACTATATTTTTTATATAGTGACTTTAAAATGTCTTAATATTTACAAACAAAAAAATAATAATTAATTTTTAACAACTCAAAACAAATAACTGCCAATATATCTTTGGTAAAGAATTTTAGCAATAAACCTCCGGATAATAATGATTTTATTTCTTTACGTTGCTCTTCATCATTTCATTCAAGCTTAGTTTTAATAATAAAGCTGTGAGCAGCCACCTCTTGATTGCTTTTCCTTCATCGTAGTTTGTTCTTTTTTTTAAAAAAAAAAAAAAAAAAAANAAAAAAAAAAAAAAAAAAAAAAAAAAAAAAAAAAAAAAAAAAAAAAAAAAACAGTTGATATTTTGCAAAAAAACACAAATACGATTTTGTTAAAAAAAAACTATATAATTATCATAATTTTATGGATTTTTTGTCAATAATTTGTTAAGATAATAATTGTAACGAAACGTATGATTATGGCTGAGTTGGAAAAAAAACACAGATTGTTCGATAAAATAAGAAAAATAAATGTGAAGCAATTTCACTCGTTAGCGATCATTATAATAGTTTAACAGGGATACAGTTTTTGTCTCTTTTAAATAAAGTTTATATATAGTATAATATTTTCAGTTTCTATGTTAAGATTCGTATCGAACAAAACCTAATTGCTCTCTGTTCTTGGCTGCTTTTTATGTTGTTTTTCACATCAAATCAAATGAAAGCGTAGTTAAGTTTTCGAGAAGATTTCTCCAAAAAATGAATAAATTATCATTATTTAAAACATTGAAAAAGGAAAAAAAACCTCAAAAATAGCAATTAAAGTTGCAAAAATTTTGAATATATTAAAATTTCGAAAAAACCTTACGTCAAGGTTACAAATAAAAATGGTCATTTCAGCACATCTAATTTGAACTCAGTTTTCTTAGAGCGAGCTATAAAACAGCCCACGTGCTTCTTTTTACAATGATTCTAACTTTTTTACTACATTGTATTCTCTATACATTATCTGTCCTTTGTAATATCAGCTCTGCAAACGAAATACAACGTTAAGCAGGACACTCAACACAGTGGCGACGCCGCCTCTTAGATTTTTTTCTTCTTTTTTTTAATAAAAAAATGTACCAGACAATATTCCCATCACTTCAATTTAAAACTGCTTGTAAATCTTGCTAAAATTAAGAGTCGATTTTTAAATGCTGTCAGAATTAATTTGATTCGACTAAAAACGTAGAACATTTGTATCTAAATAGAACGCTTCACTCTCTGATCACTGCACTCCCGTGATTGCTTCTCATTCATCATTGTAGCTACTTAAATATCGATATTCTCTCCCCTTTCTTCAAAAAAGAGATAATTTGTTAATAAAATATATAATTATTATAGTTTAATGACCTTGTGTTAGCATGCTCATTATTCAACTTTAGTTCATAGAAACGAAATGGACAATTACCTGTATTTGAAAATATTCAATTGTATTCGAAAACAAATTCAACTTTAAAGTACAGAATGTGTGACACAATAAGAAGGAATAAATGAGAAATTTACTCGTAAACAATTCATGGCCATAAACTTATATCATTATAACAGTTTAAATAAGAAACGGATTTTCTCTTGAGTTAAGATTTGAAATTTTTTGAAACTTTAATATAAATGCTAAGAGAAATATGTGATAATATCTAATACACAATTTTTAAGTCTTACAATTTTCAATGTTTTAATTCTTTAAGTTTTCGCGCAGCCAAAGAGAATGAAATGTAAAACTGAACATCATAAAAAAGCGGTAGAATGTTTTACGATTTTTTAATACAGAAATGGAAAGCTCTACATTTATTGCATAACAAGTAACATATAATATACAATTACTGATCATATATCTAATAACGTAAATACGTCCATCTGCAGTTCTCTCTCTCCCTATTTATATGTATATATTATATATTTTGGGATATTATATATTATCTGAATATTACATGCATGTCATATCCCAAAAATTCCCTATCGTCTGCACGCGTCGTGTTTTGAAACATATTAAATTTTCAAATTTTACAGTTTATGAAGGATATTTTTGCAACCAATTCACTTTCAGAATCTTTGATTAAATAGCGATAGCCATCGAAAATACGTGGCTTTTTTCATGATGTCACTGCTAGCAAAACTGTGTCTAAGACTCTGCTAAAGGAAATCTAGTCCTTAAAAATTTATCAAAAGATGCTGATTAAAATTTAAAAGAAGCCAACTTATGCCTCGTCTGTGGAAATGACATGTGTTTTCTTCATTTAAGATCAGAAATTCTTACTTACTTTATATATATAAACGATAAATTAACCACTATCAATAATATGAAAGAACAATATAATTATGACATAAACAATCTTAGAGATTCGCCCTGAAACAGGATAAGAATTTTATAAAGATGTTTTGAGGTCAGACATTGGCGTAAAATCAAT